ATCCCGACCTCAATACACGATGTTTAGGACGTGGAGGAGATGGAAATTTCACTACATTTGCTTCCGCCACGAGTCGATTATCTCTCGTTCTCGGTTTCGTTGACCTTTCCTTGTCGACCCAACAGTTGTGAGGTTGAAATTTTTCCAGAAAAATCTTTTACACGTGCAGCTTCTTTGCAATATTTTATTTAGCAAGAAATGGCTTATTTTATCAAGATTTATCAGTCAATTTATTACATACCTGGCTATTTCTCTCAATTTTTTCAATATGTAAAGCCACAAGAATGATGCTGTGAAAACATCAAGAGTTGTTTTGTCATTTCTTGTGAAAATATTGTTAAAAACTTATATTACTATTTTACCCAATGTAAACTTAATTTTTTTTTTGCCTATGGGATTATGTTTTGCCAGTCGAAAGTCAAATTTTATAAAACTACAAAATTTTCTATCTGTAAAACACAATTAAATATACGTAGGTATCATGTAAAAAGGACTGAAAAATTAAAATAGGTGAATAAATAATTATTCTCTTTTCATGTGTTAGTTCGTTTTTAATTTCTTCTAAAAATAACGATTTTACTAAAAATGTTGAAGTGGTGGTTTTAGGTGATTATTAGAACGAGATAGCGAGTGAGAAATAAATGCATTGAGAAGGTAGTTAGAACTTGAGAGAGTGAGAAAATTTAGAGAAACATATAGAAAAAGTGAGTGTGGGAGAGAGCGACAAAGAGGGAGAGAGTGAGAGAGAGAATGGTGGTGGTAGAGTGAGTGAGGGAGTGATGGAGGGCGGGAATGGCACGCACTGCCTCACTCTCACGTTCTCTCTCTCTCTCTCTCTCTCTCTCTCTCTCTCTCTCTCTCGTTTTCGGTAGTTTTGTTTTGTATTTATCATGTACTCTCTACCTCTTTATTTCTCCTTCTCTTTCTCTGCCAAAAAAATATTCTATTTTATATTGTTTGCTTGCTGATAATATCTCGCAATATTTATGCTATTCTCTCTCCTTCCCCCTCTCCTTCTTCTTCTGATTGTCTTTCTGTCTGTATTGGTCAATTTACTTTCATTGAGTTGCATGTTTCATCTGTATGATTTTGTATGTGGTAAAAAAACGATGTCTTAGGAATGAATAATGGAAAACATTTATTTTTAGTTTTTTTTATCTCTCCCTCTCACTCACTCACTCGCTCACTCACTCACTCTCTCTCACTCTCTCTCTCTCGCACTCACTCACTCTCTCTCTCTCTCTCACTCGCTTTCTCACTCACTCACTCTCTCACTCACTCGCTTTCTCACTCACTCACTCTCTCACTCACTCGCTTTCTCACTCACTCACTCTCTCACTCACTCACTCACTCACTCACTCACTCACTCACTCACACTCTCTCCCTCTCTCTCCCTCCCTCTCTCTCTCTCTCTCTCTCTCTCTCTCTCTCTCTCTCTCTCTCCCTCCCTCTCCCCCCGAATGTGTTTCTGTCTCTAGTTGGTATGTCTGTGTTCAATTTACTTTCACCGAGTTGCATATTTCGTAGGTTATCTGAATGATTTTATATGTGATAAAAAACTGAAGTTAGCACTTACTGTAATATAATGGTTTTAATAATATATGAATGATTCAACGCCTTACGTTTAATGAAAAACATCTATTTTTAGTTGTATATTTATTTTTTATTAAAAGCTCCTGTATGTGGTTACCAATTCCACAAATCTAAAATTCTTTTTTTCTTCGTGCTTGTACTCTTTGCCCACTTAGTTCTATTATCTCTTACATGTTGTTTTGTTTCTCACTCCTTTCTTACAATATGATGGTTATGATGTAATTTCTTCAATTTTCTCCCAAAGCAAATCAACTTGACATAGTTGCGAAGGGGTCAGACAATTTCTGTTACGAGATACCATCCGAAAAAAAAACCTAGTACGATTTTTTTTGTAGTAAATTGTAATCATATGAGAAATATATAGTATATAACGGGCTGATTTTTTTAAAAATTGTACTTCAACTGTAAGTGTATTTTGTGGTTTATATTCAATATTTATAATCTATTCATTATAAATTTGAATTATCTCTTATTGCTAATAGATGCCACTTCACTAATGTGCATGCAAGTTGGGAAAGCGCCGTCCAGTCCATGGCTCTTGGGGGAAATGCAGGCACAAGGACGTTCGGTCGAGGCCTACCCTCACATTCACCGCCCCGATACCAAAGCTCTCGAAATAGGCCACATCCTCGTTCCTAGTAGGGCGATATTGCCCAATCCTCTGTTTTACTTGTTCAAAAACCGCAAGGCTGCGTTTTATTTCTTGAAAATATTTATAAGAAAAAAGACGCCGTCCCGCATTCGCTGGCTTATCTCGCCTGGTTTTTTTTTTCTTTTTTAATCTTGGAATTTATGTATACGGACGTTCATTGTTCAGATGGGTGACCTTTTCTCTTTATTTCGTTTAATCTCGGGCACACACTGCTGACGGTGAATTTTTGCGGAAAAATTTGGACATTCGCGAAACGATAATTTTACTTAAGAGAGAAGTTTGTGTAAATAAAATATACATCCTCTTAGAAAAGTCAGGTCCTTTCCTTTTTTCGTTTTATAACAAAATGTTGATAAAACATTTCCTTTTTTTTCAAAATTTCTTCAGATTTTAAAGGTTGATTTAGTGTTTTATTCATGACATTTCCTCTTATTTTCTGCCGGGTCGTGAACCTGCCTGATGCTTTCTGAACATTATGATCTATGGTTTGTGTTACAATAGCTACTATAGGTATTAAACATAATAAAATTTAAAATAAACTTAAAGGCAGTGAAATCAAATACAAAACCACTAATGAATATGATGAGAAAAGAAACGTGTATGACTAAAACTGCAAGTTAAAAATGTGACACTTTACTAGTTTACGTCTCACTTAAACTTGCTTAGTGATCACCACCACCAACCAAAATATCGAGGGTAGGACGACCAAAAATTACCGGAAACGGCCAAATTTTATTCAAGTTTACGCTAGATGATAAAATATCCGAAGTTATATTGAAAAACAAATTTCCACGGCTTTCCTCTTATTGATGCTAGTTGCTTAATTTTGGTTTATTTTAATTAAGACTTTCTTGACATTTTACCAATGCGATTTGTACGAGAAAAATTCCAATTAACGGGTTAGAGTGAGATAAGACATCTACGAGATTATCCTCTAGAAAAGCGAATTGATAAATAAACACACGCTCGATGAGATTGAAGTGCAACAACCCCAATATCTTCGAAATTTAATGTGATACGGTCCGTTGTACGACCACTAAGAAGCTGTCGGTCCTTGATTTCGAGCAAATACCTCGTTATCTGAAGTACCTCGTACATTTTTAATCGATAAAATGTATAAATGACTCGAGGATTGTGAAAATGTGTCGATTTGCAGGACATCGTTAAGGATAGATAACTTGAAACAATAGCCAAGATGGTTTAGTATATTTTTTCTGGTTGTTTTTAAATTTAGTAAATTGTTTGAACGTTTTCCAACCGTCTTGTTTGTAAATTCTTGTTTTCGTTTTTAAAATGCCGCGCCTATCTGGTTGCCTTTTGCCCCGTTCTTGAACTTGACCATGTTTGGTTTCATAGACAGTGAAGGTGCACAAACCAGGCGAGAAACTCTTACACTTGTGTTTTTCAATCTTCGCAGGATCTAAATTTATATCAATATGTCGTGTTTTTTTTACATAAAAAAGTAAGAGGGGGGTAAAGTCGCATCGTTATGTTTATGTATTCCCTTGGAATACGGGTGTGCTTTTGATATTTGAGTAGAAATGTTGACCAAGGACCAAATTAATATCCGATTTAGTCTCACAAACCAGTATCCTATTTATTTACTTTTTCTTTGGTCCACTTACTTATCGGAGTGGTTTTTTTGTTAAAAATTACGCGATAATGTATCAAAGAAATGGTATTGTCGCGTTGTCGATACCCTCATTTTCTGTTTAAGGGATTCCTTTTGTCTTGTGTCTTGTGCGAATTGGGTCATCGCTTTCATTTTCATTTGTTGTGCCGTAGTCACGGTAATTCGAGAGTTACTTTTTACACGTGCTTACTTTTCCAAAGGCTTATCGGTCTCGCGGAAGTCTCAATCGCCCTTTGACGATAACTTTACACAATTTCGTTTACAACCCGTTCGCTTTGTCGAGGGGGGAAAAATGATAAAAAAAGCGGGTGCAATAGAGGGCTAACCTTTACATTACTCGTTATGTCATAGTGCTCTTCCCACGCCCCCTCCTCAGTTCCCGGCTTTCTTCACTCTTTCTTTCTTCCCTTCTTTCACATACATTTATTTATTATTAATGCTATTTTTAATTAATTATTCAGTGATTACAGTAATGCGAAATGTTTTGGGTTCTGTTCAAGTTTTGTACGGGAATCATCATCGTTAAGTTTTGTGGTTTCAGTTTTGATTGAAATTGTTATGTATTGTGCTTAAAGTTTTACGATAGAAGAAATGAAGTCATTTTATTTTAGCATATAGCACGACCTAAAAATACCTTAGGTAAGTCTTTCACTGCAACTAATGAAACCTGCTTAACTGCTAAATCTTTTTATGGCAGACAAATGTCTAGTCGGCGTTTGAAACGAGACATTGGCAAATTGGGAATCAATTCTTCAGCCTTATGATTTTTTTTTTATAAAAAAAAAATTTCTGTCCGGCTTAAGGTCTTAAAACGAGGTCTGCTGTCATGAGACCCCATTTTACTTTTTCAAAAGGTTATAAGGCGCCAAGTCCAGCTGAAAAATCGTCCTTGGATTTTTATTGAGGTTGTCGTGTGCGGCCAGTGCAGATTTTCAAATCCCCTTTCAATTTAATCAGATTGCCCCTACTGTACTTCTCTAGGGTAATTCCTTCGATAAAGCAGTTCTGCAGAAAATGGATTTAAGTCCTGACATCTAATTTTTTTTATTGATTATATTTCCCTTCACCGTCTTTAGAGGTTTAAAATGTAACACCGTACATTTTTTTTGCAATTTTACTTACGTTTATGGTAGACGTTTCAGGAGGGTGTTGGGGGTGCGCTTGAGGCGTCGTCGGGACCGGAGGCATGACACGATCCTGTATCCGTTGGTGACACAATCCAGTAACACAAAAGCTCGTTTTGTTCGGGCGGCAAAATCAAAAAATTTTTTCCGAAAAGAATATATTTTTTCTATGTTAGCCCTCTCTCGCGTGCCGCTCCCGCGGCGACTGACTAGAGACTGATCTTGACCCTCTCTTACTTCGGGGGATTCTCGTTGCGTCAACCCCTCCCTCCTTCGCGATATCCAGACAATCCCCTCCAGAAGCGGATTTTGTCCGGCCGCGGCTCAGTTCTGGACGCAGCAGGAGCCTAGTCAGGATGACCTTAAACTTTGAACATATGTCCGCGGTTTATCATGTCATAACAAACCACCGTGGCCACGGCGTTGGTCTCGTTTCCTCAATTTCTCTTCATTAGTCTGCCAAAGAGAGCCCAGATCCGATAAAGCGCGCCCCTTTTCTTTTACAGACCATTTTCGCGATTCAACCTATTTTGGAAAAAAAACTAGTTCGGTGCATAAGGTGCAGCTGTCATTCGAAGGTCATTAGTCATGTTTAAAACAAACTTCGAGCTCAAACAAAAATATATATCAATTTCCCTTTTTTTAGGTCGTGTTCAGATTACTGGTACCTTTTGGCTAACATTCATTAAAAAAAATCTTTTTTTATCAAGGTTTGATTTATATATTATATATTGGAATCAATCCTATCCTGATAATCATGGGCTAGTAACCAGATGGATGCTACAATTCCGAGGGTAGAATGAAAGGATTGAAGACCTTATTCCTCTGTCAACTCATATTCATTTGGTTTATAACTAAAATGTTGGATGTAGATAGTTGCATTTGTAAACCGTGAATATGTTAATTATAGTTTCAAAGCCCCAATGTGTATATTTCTGGAGAGCTTGACGAAGGTACTGATTTTCCTTCGTCGAGTGCTGATTTTTTTTTATATACAAAATTTTAATATCGAAGTCTGATGCCAATCACGATAATTTCTTCCGAAATTTTCTTTTTAAGGGTTTGTTACCATAAAAATTGATTTGTTATTCTTCTGTTAAGTTTGAAGTATGAATAGGACAGATTTGATTTTGCCGATTTATGGTTTCCTATCACGTGATCTGACATGTGACCAAACGCGACGATAGATCGGCCAAAATTATGAGAAAATGATTGAATCACGAGTCAAGCTTTCTGCAGATCTCTAGAGAAAATCTAAAAAATTTTTAGTTGTTCATTTTTTCGCTTTGCACAAAAAAGTTTCGTTTGAAACACAAAAATCCGTTCTTACCAACACAAAAATATATAACACTTTGAAATATTACATCCCCAATGTATTTATCGCTCTCAGACTATTTGTAGTTTTAGCTAATACACATCATTCATAAACAAAAATATGATTCTACATTCATTGCTGCTCTTTAAAAAGTCATTACTGAAAGCTGGTTGGGGTTAAGGTTAGGTTAGGTTTAGTTGAGCTGGATTAGGAATGGTTTAGTAAGGTAGGAATAGGGTTAGGCTGGATTAGGAATGGTTCGATTGGTTAGCGTTAGGTTATGGATATACTAGGTTAGTAGAGTTAGGCTAGGTAGGATTAGGCTAGATTATGTTAGGTTAGGTACGGTTTGTCTAGGTTAGGGGTAGGTGGATTTAATTGAGTTAGGTTAGGAAGGAATGGTAAGATTAGGGAGAGTTAGGATTAGGCTGCGTTAGGTTAGAATGGTTGGGTTCGCTAGTTGTAAGTTGTTAGGTTTGTCAAGTTAGTTCAGGGAGGTTAGGAAATGAGGATTATTAAATAATAGAGGTGGGATGAGTATATCATTTCATTTTTGTAAATCATAGTTCTATACACAAACTGAATTTGACAATATCTGGATCTCGACCATTAAAGCTCATCGTCAATTGGAAATGTACAAACCCTTTTTAATTTAAACTTGTTTCACAAACTGTTAAAAAAGGTTTGGTTAGGTTACATTTTTTTAAAATAGTTCTACTCGAGATAGAATTTTCTAACTTAATAAAGAACAATAAATCATCAGGCATAAGACAAAAATACCTCTCTCGACATGGATTGCTTAGACTTTAAAGGATTGTTACAATTCATGTCGAAGGACGTGTTTTTGTCTTATGCATGATGATGAGTATTTATTACTCGAAACACAGATAGCTGCCTTATACTATTGTGAGTTGAACTATCTTTTCCAAAAATTGAATTGCCATACACCCCACTTCAACTCATTTTTATTGGTTAAGTTAGGTTAGGAGAGTTTTGGTTAAGCATGACTATAATTGGGCTAGGTTTATGATATGCATCAATCCAGTTTGACAGTTAATTTAATCAGACTCGATTTTGAAGATGTTCGTTTTCGGTCATTTGGATGCGTCTTAGCTTGATTACAAATTAAAATAACTGATACACCCAACGGCTGCACGTTCATCACACCACAGTTGTCAAGAAGAAATTACAAAAGAATTTAAGCTTGTTAATTATTTTCGCCTTTGCATATTAAAAAAAACGTAGTTCAGGTGCTTAAGCGTGCAGCTGTCATTTGTAGGTCACTGTCAACTTGAACGTATGTAGATCGGTGCTCCAAGAAATCTACATAATGATGAAATATATTCTTACTAATTTTGTATTACTCGTACTTTTGTATTATTATTACTAAATTAGCCCAAAATTCTACTACAATTAATCTATAAATTTGTTATTCTTAATCTTGGAATTTTCAACTTATTGATAAAGAAAAATGCCTTAAATTAGGGTGAAATTCCAAAATTTCTTGTCAGATAATTCGCTGTTAGTCAAAAATTTCTTAGTTAAAGAATCACAAATTATGATTGGGCTATATTTCTTTTCGTCACTTCTACGTACTTTTAAACTATCTTTATATTTGTTTGCTATTTTTTAGAACACATTTTCTTGTAGTGGTTGAAAATTAAAAATTAAATATTTTGTTGAAATAATGAGTATAGTGTATGAAACGTAATTATTTATCAAGCATGAAAATTGTTTAATTGAAAGAAAGTCTCTAGTGTAAGAACGACCTTGGTTGCACCGACGGACACAAGTGCGCCGTGTAAAATCGAAAGGCAAATTGAAAAAAAAAATTAAACCTAAATAATTAAATGATAAGTTAGAATGGTCCAAAATCCAATATGACGCCGGTCTTGGTCGTGAATTTCCGTCGGTGGACACCTACAGGCCAAGGGCAATTTCGTTTCACCATTTCCGATGAACGAGACGAAAAATGTAACGCATGGCCCAATTTTGAAATAACGAATTCTAAAACGGCTCCCGCCTGGTAAACAAGTTCAAGGGGATGACGCGATCGGTTTTCGTGCATAAGACAAATTAAAAAATACCAAAACAGAAAAGTGCACTCGGCTCTTACTGTTCTGAAATAATTCTGGTACAAGACATACCGTTTAGTGTCGCAAATTCTTTGCTAAAAAACACCCACATATGATCATAATTTAAGTATTGGGTTGCTTCATTTTCTTTACTGTACTTATTAAAACCAAGTTTGGATTTTGTAATATACAAATACTATCAGGGATCAGAAAACAAGTATAATCAACTTTTACGTAGAAAGCTGTTACATAGTCCTTTTTCATGTTTGTCTGCTTTTCCTCCATCATTCATATATTTCTTTTTCCAAAGATTTTTGTGTTGTTTAGCCGAAATATTTCGTTTACACTTTAACCATTGTGTTTAAAGATGCTGTTGTTTAAAGACACTGGGGCGTCGGTGGCTGCAGGCCTTGACACGGCGCTCATCACTTTAAGGTATAGGTCCGGGGTTCGAATCCAGCGGCCCTGCATTTGAATCCGACATACAAATGGGCTTTTTTTTTTCCAAAAACAAACTGTCCTCAAATCAATCCAATAACTATTTATTGGAGCAATTTTCTCGTATAAAATAATAAAATATCATATTTTTAACACATAATTATTGAAATCGGCTTCAATTCGTTGTTGGTTATTGTCCAAATTTCTACTTTCTAAAAAATAGACTTTGTAAAAAAAACGATATATTTTTCGAAATAAAAATAAATTATATACTCTAATTTGAATTATAATTATACACTAATAATTATCACCAAAAAGAAATTATCCTGCTAACCCGATTGAGGATAAGCCATACCTGACTGACACCTGCTTTTGGGGCAAACACGCGCAGGGGCTTGCTTATAGAGAAAGATTGCACTGTGTGTCGCATCTGATCAAAGGGTGCCATGACCATTGACCTAAATCCTCTGTTCCACTTGTTAAGGGAAATGGGGGTGTTTCCTCACATATAGAATTATATATTCAGTGTGTACTTGTAAAATGTATTTATTGCGATAATTGAAAGGGCCGATGGGGGAATATCGAGTTCCCATCGGCAATAGTGCGAGGGGGATGAAATGACCACTGTTGGTAGCCTCCGAAAAATTTTGTAATTCCTGCCCAAAAATATTCATGGTAAGAAACCTAGATAAATGAAAATATCACTAATGAAATACTCGTGAGGAAAAATGAAACAATTATACGTTTAAGAACGCTGATTACATCCTTGTAATTTTAGTCCAAATCATGGGAATTAACATGAATTTGTATTCCCAGTTTCTGTTAAATATGTTCTTCAAGAACATAAAATAATATGTCACACAAAAAAATGTGGTGGGGAAAAAGAATAAAGAAATGTTGTCAGGCCTTATGAAACAGGCAACCTTTGTGCCCACATTTAATTATGTTTTCCAGGGTCTCTTTAAGCATTTTTTTTTAGTTTTAGAAAAATTATATGATCAAGTAAAAAAATCTATGAAGTTAAGTAATCAAGCCCGAGGCAGTGTTGAGTGATGAAACAGTCAATATGCTCAAAATTATCCAACCGGTATCTCTAAGATTACCCTAGGCGTTATGTAACAATTTTGCTTCCGATCTACCGAAGGTAGGAAGCCTTCTATTAATGTTACACGAAAACAAAGCTGGCCCTTCGCTACTTTTTTAAACCACAACTTATGAGAAAAACTGGGAATAGGGTTGTTAAATCTAGTAAGTCAGTAATATCTACACTAAACAAAGGCAGAAAATGACAACTATACAAAAGTTATAAAACCCATCTTAAACCTAATAAAATAAGCTTAATAATAAAAAAAAAAAAAAATCAAACGTAAAAATGAAAGAAAGGGCATAAAAAATGAGAC